AGTGTGAGGTAGCAGATAGCAGTGGGTGGAGGAGCTGCAGGCGCTACTGTTATCGTTCATTTCTCAGAGAAATGGATTGTGGTAATTACGTCTGTGATAAAAGAGGAGCAGATGGTTTTTTTATATTGTGGCCTTGTCTTAATCTGGCCTTCCTCCACTTCCATCTTACTCCACCAAGGTTCAAGGAAGGAACATGTCTATGTAGGTTCTCAGTCCTACAGGTCATCTTATCCATAGCAGTTAGACAGAGGCAAACTGAAAACTTTGTTGGTTTCTTGAAGACTCTTCACCTCTCCATCCAAGACGCTTCTTCAGCTCTAACCGACTGATGAAAAATTAGCTTCAAAGTTGCTTTTTCCAGCAGTCAGTTAGAACCAAAGAAGCCTCTTGGGTGAAGAGGTGAAATGTCTTCCAGAAACTAAGCCTGTCTGTTTTGGTTCTGAGGGGAAAAAATTCAGAAAAGAGCATAGCTTCAAATAGAAGAAGAAATGAGACTCTGTCAGGCAGGACCACAAATAAGCAGTGTGTAACATGATGACATTTAAAGGGCTGTTTATCAATAAACACAACCATGAATTTAGAGCCAATATACAGCATCTGTGGCTAAAAAGGAATGTTTTCATAAATCCTAAATCTTTGAACAAAAATTAATCAAGTATAAGAAACATTTCTGCAGATTCTTGTTATGTATGTGAGCTGCCTTATCCTTTATATTATACTTCAACTAGATCCTGTGTGATATATCCTGTCATTTATTACTCATTTCCTTGGAAAATAGATCAAGTATGCAGAGGATAAATGATGGAGAACCTCTGAGAACCATCACTGCAGTGACTACAAATCCAAGCCTGTCCTTCCTTTAGAACCCGTAGAGCGTGCAGCAGAAACTTTTCTCCGCTCACCTTTCTCCCCCTCTGCTGCTGAAATACATCACTCTGTCGCCACTCACACGTTATTTCACAGTTGCCTAACAAGACTGTTGAGAGACCTGTCGCGTATTTGCTTCTATCCATTTTGCCCGTGGGCTTGAATCAGCCAGACTCACTCAGCATTCTCCTCAGCACTATGCACAACGCACTGCTGCAACAGTCAAGGCTCCCCCCCCCCCCCCCTTTTTTTCTCTCTTTTTCAAACATTAGGGCTCTAGCGACACTGAGCCTTTCCGTGCCTTTTCTGCTCTCTATCTGAATCCATCACGGTGGAGCAGCCAGCGGCGTCAGCCTCTGAATGTCAATGCTGTTCACTGTGCAAAATGGCTGGTGGTGCATGCAGGCAGGCAGAGTGCAGAACTCTCCAGAGCTTTTCAGTCTTCCTGAAATGGCTTCATAACAGCTGGGGGAAGAAGGCAACAAGAGAGTGAGGCTCTCTGGATATTACATCGCTAATTAGGCTGATGTATGTGCATCCACTGCCACTGTCAGGGAAAATAGGAGGGCTTACAGTTACACTGCTATTTAATCTCAATTCTGCTAAAGAAACTGATTTATTATTTTAAGATTTCCCTATATTTTATCGACCAAACCTGAACCATTCGTTAATGTCTCATTAGCAGGTTGGAGATGCTTATATCATTAATTCTTTCCATTTTCCTCAAATTTCTATACAATCTTAGTTTTTCAAAACATAATGCTATTGTCGCGTTGGCTTAAAGAATTCACTCTATTTTTTGTGCTTATTAATATGTTCAAATAACATTACAACAGCATTGCAACAGGTCCCTGTAAAGTTTACTTATCAATCACACGACCATACAAAGACAGGCTTAGTAGTTCAAGCATACTTTCCCACCTATGGTCAATTCGAAGTTGCCAGTTGAACTCTAACTCAGTCAGCATAACTAGCGAGTATGAATATTCTACTTCACGGTAAGTCTGCTACAGGGGTCAAACATATACAGGTACAATATGTGCCCTGCCGATGTAAGCACTGAGAATGTACGCCAACACAACATCACCATAGTCGTAGTAAAACTCCTAATCAGAACCAGCGACATCGCGTTTCTCTCTGCAGTCCTGTCACCTACCTTTCACGGCGGATAATATTCAGCTTTAGAACTGCATTACGCAGTACATCCTTTATAGAAGTAACCAGGGCAGAATACTCAGTGGATCATGTACTGTCTTATCTTAGATCAACAGAAAGGAACTCCGCGTGTACTCTGGAGTTATCACTAATACAGGATTTGCATTTGGATTACCCAAAGACTGACGTCTGCAGCGCTGACATTAAATCACAATAAATACTTAGCTATGTCCATTTTTTGGGGTTAAAATTCAGAAAAAATATACTTTTCTGGTACGCCAACTTTTGATCACAGTAAAATACTATACCCATAAGTTCCTGAACAAATCTCCGAAAATAAGTTTTTCAAAAATGACTAAAAATATATTAATTTGCCTTAAAATACTTAGCTATGTCCATTTTTGTGGTAAATATTCCGAAAAAATATACTTCTTTGCTAATAATTTCCCCAAAAAGTCTTAAAAAAAATAAAGGTTTCTCAAAAATGACTAAAAATGCACTGATTGCCTTAAAACATGTAGCAATGTACATTTTATAGAAAAAAATATACTTTTTTGTATGTCAACCTTTGATCACATTAACATTCTATACTAATTATTTCCTAAAAATTAAAAGTTTTGCAAAAATAAATATTTATGCACTAATTTGCCCTAAAATGATTTTTATGGATCAACCATAAACCATGGTTGAGTCGAAACGTATCAACCGATAAATCGACCAGTCGACTGGGAGAGTACAGCAGTGTTACAAATGACTCTACAAATGCCAGAAAGTAGGAATCTGGACAGAAGGTGAGACAGCAGAATATTAAACACTTGCAGCATCTCATATTCTAAACTTCAGAGCTGAAGGGGTTTCTGTAATAATTGCATTCCTTCTGTGCTGAGACCTACTCTGAATGACAACTAAGCGTTTGACAAAAATAGTTCTGGGTACATCTGTGTGCAGTTTTACTGTCCAGTGATGTGTCCTGCAAATTCATGCACGTATTAATATTTCCTGCATGTCTTTGTTCCTGGGAGTCCACTAAGCAAGGACAACTACATGCAAATTTGTGCGAGTGCCTGGACCCTGCACCACCCGTTGGCTTTGCCAGTTCCCCCACGTGAGCTCAGTTTCCCGCTGCTTTGGCCCAAATCACAGCTGCTGCCCTGCCGACCCCCACTGTGGAGGTCGATGGGGGGGGTTGTTTTCCCTCTTAATCAAATGAATAAGGTTAAAGGGAGAACATGGGTTTCTGTGCCAAAGGGTTGAGCCAAAACATCAAGGACGAGTGTGTTATTCTGCAGAATGAGGAGGAGACACTGTCTCCTCCTCATTCTCCTCCTCCTTCTCTGATCAAAAAAAACAATTTCACCTAATCACACAAAAACACAAAGAGCTGAGAATAATCACAATGTCTTTACAGTGCATACCTTTGTTGCAAGGCAACTAAAAACATCTAACTTACAAACCAAAATGACTAATCACTGTAGCTCACAGACAACAGCCCAGGGTTTATACAAAGTATTTGTCAAGCAACATTGTCTCAAAACATTTCATTAACAATGGACAGTAATTAACAGTGTTGGTAACAAATCATTATTCTGTAACTTTGTATTATTTGCTAATTCAATAGTGCTTTAAAATGCCTTTGAATTTATAGTGGCCATTTTTTTGTTTTGTAATATTCAAACATACAGTACGTGTTGGGAAATTGTGACATATTACAGAACATTATGTGATGTACATTAACACTAAATTAAAATAAAAAGGGAGTGATGTTTTAGTGGCAAGTATTTTGAGAAAATGTGAGTGTATTTTTTAATAATAATGTCAGTATTGGTTTTAGTAATAATCTGATGTTTATTTAATACTAGAGTACTGTACAGTATTTTTAACAGAACCACAGCAGTTGTCTGGCTCAGTGAGAAGTCAGTGCTAAAGTCAGGGCTATTTCTGTCCTCTCTGCTGAGCATACAGAACAACCACATGCAGCCTGCCAGGCTATGAAATCTCTCCTTTCTTTATTGGGAACAACAGGAATCAAGATTAAACAACTATATATGTGTATATACAGTATGTGTGTGTATATATACAGTATGTGTGTGTATATATGTATGTATGTATGTATATATGTATATATATATATATATATATATATATATATATATATATATAGTTGTTTAATCTTGATTTCTTGATTTGAATCTTGATATGTATATATATAAATGGATATATGTATATGTATACAGTATACATGTATATATGTGTGTGTGTGTATATATATATATATATGTATATATGTTTGTGTGTGCTTTTTACTGCCCTACACATTCTTGCCACTAGTTTACTGTCATTCCTTTACATTATGGATATCCTTTTCTGAAACTCTCATGAGACATTCATGTCGGATTGCTTAGTTTCACAGTACACACACACACAAATTATTCAACAAATCTTCCGTAGAATGACTGAGAGTAACTGCTCTGTCGTCTGTAATCTACTCCATTAATGCACTTCCATTCATTCTGGCCACAAAAAAAACAGCATAAAACAATGTGTCACTTTTCATAGCAGGTAACAGCCCTGTTCTGGATTCAGTGTGCTGCTGAAAAGAATAATGTGTGTGGTGATTTTTGCAACCCATATGAAAATGCCCTGCAGGTTGAGTGTGTGCATGTGTGTGTGTGTGTGTGTGTGTGTGTGTGTGTGTGTTGAGGGCAGCAGGAGCCGAGCAAACCAGCCATAAAACAATGATGGATGATAGGAGTGTTTAAAGAGCCATGTGAAAATGCTGCTGTTTATGAGCGTGACCTTGGCGTTCACGAGTGTTGGTAAAAGACACTGAATTCTGGCAAGTGAGTAATGGACAGTAATGTCCATAGGGAGTGCACGTTTGTAGACATCAGACTCTGTCATGTTTTAATATCTGCTAAATCATTCATTTACTATGTTTCCACGGAGCTCTAGCTGAGAACAGTCATGTCTAAGGTCTGGCCCTGGGCCCAATCATGCCCTTCAGACAGGTGTAATCTGGGTCATAACATCTGACATAAAAATGGTTTCTTATAGCCCGATATCTTGGCAGGAAATATAGTTTTCTTAACAGGGTCTTATGGTAAGTACACCTGGAAAATGTATAGCTCTGTATTTCGTTGTAATCCTCAAGCTTTTTTCTTTTCTTTTCTTTTTTTACTTTTTTGGGATTTTGCTGTTTAATTTGCCTATGTGTATCTTATTTGTAAGTAAGCTAACCTTTAGTCAACATATTTCACCTTTTAGATATTTCACAGGTTCTTTGCTAAAATTAGCTAGCTTTTTTTAGAAAGCTAATCTTTAAAAAGAAATGATGTGTATTTTTACCTCACTTTTAATTTTCATTATTTTTCATCTACTTTTCAGCAAATTCTCTGCCCACTTACTAAGTTGTGCCTATGTACTACAAGTGGTAGACCAGGCATGACACAAAACTTTCATTTTACTTCTGCCTTTTCCCTTCAGTGCCTGCATTTCCCCAATTGATGACGTAGAAACACTGAAAGCACTTTATGCATCACTTTCACGTGTCATTTGTTTTAGTTCATATGAACGCTTCATCTATAGATAGATAGATAGCACTTTATTATTCCCTTTGGAGTTCCCTTCGAGATATTTAGGGCTATCTGCTCCTGACCCAGCCCTCTTGTCAAATTTAAGGACCTTTTGTGACCCCTGGGTCAAAACGTTTGCCCATACCTGTGCTAGACCAATGTCTACAAATTTGTACAGTTTTACTGTCATTTTCCAGTGCATTTGTATGAGAGTTAATTATAGTCTATGGTATCAGATGAGCAGCACTTGTCCCAAATGTACAATTATATTAAATTTGACCTTCTCCTGGACACTGTTGTTTAAGGACAAAAATAAAGTTAAAAATTCTCACAGTTGAACTCCTCCAGCTAAGGTCACATGTCCTTATACACCCTGGTCCCAACCAATGTCATACATTCTCAGGAGACAATAATAAACACACAGTTTACCGTTGTGTCATAGCCAACGTCACCAGTTGTGTGATTTCTATCCCCGCCAGCTTTCTCCTTTGGACTTTAGTAGATGCTGATACATCATCACCTCACTTTCTCCTTTGCTGTCGTCGTACTACTGCGTGGATGAACTCTGGACTATTTGTTTTTTTTACAGTTACAGTTTCCATTGTTCCCAAGGTCAAAATAAAGGACTCTGCTCCAATTTTTGGATATATTTAACTGAATCTTTATGCTTATCAACACTGACCCACAATTACTTAATGCAGTATGCACTCAAAGATTACACACTGCCATATAATGAGAGCGCCTTACCAGAACCATCATTTAAGATGCTCTAAAACCAAACACCCTGGCCTTTACTGGTACTGAGAGTCAAGACAAATAATTTTCATTTTATTGACCACATTCTTGTTGACAAACACACCTTTTGAATTCAATAGATGCGTTTTGAAAAATTACCAGAATTCACCCAAAATGAAGTGAAATTTTTTTGCATAATATGTGGAATTGAATCTTTGTTTTTTTATTGCTCTCTCTTGTGTTTTAATATGTGTTGTCTTGTTATATTTTGACAGATTCACTTGACTTCATCTGGACAACCAATCCATGAGTCTCTCATATGAAATCAGTCAGGGACAAGGGACATCTCCAAAGTCTCAAACAGGACAGAAACAGGACAGAACATCAGAACAATTGTGACTCATCAGTGTCAGCAAAAACACTGGCAGATGCATGGCGAAAACCAAGAATAACAGCTTTATGTCCTACTCTGTCTTAGCCAGATGCTAATAGTGTAAATAGATGTAAATTTCACTTCGGCTTCTGTCAAATCTGCTCACATCTTCACATTCTTCCAGGTTTTCTGCTCCCTAGACTTGAACTGATAAAGCTGACCTCTTGACAAGCCCTGGTGTGATGAGGTAATCAATTATTCACTTTATCTGTCAGCTCTGTTGTCGTTGTGGCCGATTGCTGCACACGCCCTGCATGTTGAGTGGCCTCAGGCCTACAGTGTCTGAGTGGTTACATTACGCTCCCTGCAGTACCTTTACAAAAGTTCAATTTTATTGTTTCCACAATGACAGCATGCTACCACACAGCAATTAAAGCAGTGACAACCAGCCAATGAATTTGAGTGTTGTAACTCACCCAGAGGGAACAAAAGGAATCTCAGGATGCATTTATAACAAAAGAGAACGCTGGTGTGAAAAGAAGATCTACAGCTGTGGTTTCAACACGGAACAAGGCCTGGAAAAAACCTGAGAGAGTATAGACATGGGTCGACAATTCCCAGGGACTGTGTTCATTTACTTTTGACAAATATCCAGCACTTCAGGCTTACATTTGGTTTAAAGAAATGAGTGAGCTGGGTTTCACTGACTATTTTAAGATATTTCCTAGAATTTTTTTTTATAATCTAATTTAGTATGTCATTTTTGGTCAAATGTGGAAAAATGATGTTAAAATGCTTAAGCAATTTTATTTGCAAAATTTTATCTTGACTGCAAGTTGTCTAAGTTAAGCATTTTTATACTTGTTTTAGAAAAAAATGAATTTGTTACGCAAAATACTAATTTAAGATATCGTCATATTTAACATATGATAAAATTCTTTATAATTTTAAAATTTCTCTTATCTTTTCTGCATGTTTCTCATCAAATTATAGCATTTTGAAACTTTTTTAGAAAAATACATTTTTTGATAAAATCCCAATTTCCCCCAAAAAAATCAAAATGTTATCTTTTATCACCAAAAACAAGCAAAACTATAGCCTTACCTTCCTGAAAAAGTGCTAAAAATAAAAAGTCCCAGAAATGCCTCAAAATGGAAGTTTGTCGCAAAACATGCTGCCAAGTGAATAATTTGTGCTAAAAACTGCAAAAAATATTTTATATGAATATTTAAAAATATCACCAAAAACATGCCTTACCTTCCCGAAAAAGTGCTAAAAATAAAAACTCTCAGAAATGCGTCAAAATGCAAGTTTATGCCACAAAACATGCTGCCAAGTGAATAATTTGTGCTAAAAACTATTTTATTTGAATATTTCAAAATATCACCAAAAACAGGTAAGACTATAGCCTTACCTCCTCGAAAAAAGTGCAAAAAATAAAGTCCCAAAAATGCGTCATAATGCTAATAAAGTTTATCTAAATATTGAAATATATCTGAAAAATCACCCAAAACATTCCCTCTAATAGCCTTACCATCGTGAAAAAA